TTTTCAAAAAAGCCCAGTTCAAGCCCGAGCTCGACTTAATACAATTTATTAAATAATAAAAATATATTTTATTTAATAAAAAATATATATACAATATTTTTTCTTTGTTCTTCTTTTGTTTTTTTTTCCAAGTAACAGTGAGATGTTTATTATTTTTAAATTTTGAAGGTTGTAATATAAATAAAACACTTTTCTATTGAATAAAAAAGAAAAAAGTTATGTTTTCACTTTTTTGGTCGGGCTCAGGCTTGGGCCTGAACCTGAGTGTATTCTATTGATACGAATACAAAGTCTGACCCGACTCGACCCATGAACCGGTCTATTTGTTACAAAGGTCTCTGGCAAGGGTTGCAGTGACAATTCCGACTAGAGATGGCAAATGGGTGTGTTGGATTGGGTTGGGTGAGGGATGTTGAGTATCAACCCACCCACATTCGCCCACTGACCCATCTGCCACCCTATTTATTGGGTCTTAGTGGGTCATAACCCACCTTGATCCTGACCCACCCATATGACCCTTTAATCCAAGACAAATATTTTAGTCAAACAAAAATACAAATATTAAGAAAATTATTGAAAATGTTAATAAAAACACAAAAATTACAAAAAAAAAATTAAAGCGAAAAATTGATATAAATTTGCTGGAAAAATGAAAACGATAAAATTTTAAAATACATATATTTAAAAAAAGTTGAAATTACATAAAGTACCTAAATTGACAAAAATTCAAAATAATTATACATTTCAATCCAAAACTTGTGGAAAAATAAAAATATTTTTCAAATAAGAATAAAAATATAGAAAAACAGAGAAACATTGACAATTATACAGGAAAATTGCAGAAAATTACGAAAATTAAAAAAACAAAAAGTTATAAAAATTGAAAAATAATTACAAAAAAAGAAGTAACATAAATTACAGAAAAAACCAAGAGAGTTTTGTGTTCTGCAATGGTGGAAGATGAGAGAGTTTTGTTGCAACTTCGGAAAGGTTTGGGAGAACACAGATCTGGGTTCGCACCAGATCTGGCGCTGTTCTACAATGGTGGAAAGACTGAAGACCAAAATCCAATTTTCCTTTCATCAGAGGTGAAGGAGAAAACCACAGGGATCAGTGGACCAATTTCGAACCTTAGTTTTTCAATCATCGACAGCGGCTACATCTCCCTATTCTCTCCTTCCGTCGGTGGTGAATAAGAAAGACCCGACCGTACGTCACATAGCCATTAAATCCTTAGTTTTGTTAATCGCCGGCCCCTGCTCATCTCCCTACGCACTCCTTCTAGTCAGTGGTGAAGAAGAGAAACTCAACTCAGCCCTTCCTGTTGTGAGAGTTTTTTGGTTGGACACGTTAAGTGTGGGCAAATTAGTAATTGCCCATTAATTTATTTTGAATAAAATTAAAAGCATGCCCATGAATTGGTGAACTGCTGTAAACGTGTCCAACCCAGAAATTTTCTCAACAGAAAAGACTGTTGGCCCCCAATAGCTAAAGTTAACCCTCAAACCTCAGTCCACCAGTTGCTGACCACCATTGCATTTCCTTACCCTTTCTCCTTTCATTTTTCGATTATTAAACCCTAAACCCTCTCCCTATGAATAGATGACGTAAACTTGCTAACATGTTTGATTGCTACCCATTATTGTCCTTTCTTTTTTATCCTACTCGATCTGAGATAATTCTTGAACCGAGGTCGTAGTTAAATAATCTTTGCCAATTAGGCGGAGTCGAGGTGGAAGGACGAAGCCGCGTTCCAAGATCTGTAACCAAGAAAAAGTCAGAGGCCCGATGAATTATCTCCAGGTAGATACTTTGACGCTCAAGTCAATAGAAAACAGTGGGCAGTCGGGTCAAACAGTTAGAGAACTGTGCTGGTCCGAGTAGAGTAACCGTCTAGGAGTCAAAAGTTTGACCCTTTACCTTGAGCAGAAGATACCTTTTTATAACCGAAGATTTGTTTCCTGGTCGGATGAGGCTTCCGGGGTTGTCGAGATGAGGTTAACCGCCGAGGTCTTCGGGATAAGACTTAGTCCCTAACGGAGTTGTCTCCATTCGTACGATGATCTCCTGTCTTGATCATGCTTATCTGCATGACGTGATTGGAGAAATAAGGTAGGGCCGCAGAAGTGATGCAGTATTGGCATGCCTAGGAGACAAGATGACCACATAGACGACATGTGACGTTTGGAGCCAACTCAATCATAACCCGAACACTTTTCTTCTTCATTCTTTTTGATAAATTCTCTCGTAAAATTATATATAGGTTGTCCATACATTGTATTTATTTTTTTAATTTTATAAAAGCCTAAATGCAATTTGGGCGGATTTGGTTGGGGTTAAGGTCAATCCAATCCCAATTCTAAAGGTGCAAACCTTGGGCTTAGGCCTGGTCAACCTGAAGTTAATTCCAATTCCCAAGTTTATTAACTCAGACCCAATCTAAACTTAATCCAACATAATTAGGTTTGGATTAGTCGAACTATGGCCCAATTTAAGAATATAATGAAATGAAAATATGTATAAATTTAGCCTACAATGCATGTAAATATAATCGGATGGTAATCGAGACTACTTCTGTATTGTGTAATGATAACACTTAACAAATGCGTGATTGATGAGTTTTTTTTGGAGTCCGCAGCCCAAAACCTAAGGCCTAAGTCGTGCAAAAGCTCAGATTGGGTTGGGTCGGGCTTGCGTTCAATCCGCGCAAGTTGCACGCTTTCACTACCCCTTGTTTGTTTCATTCCTTATTCTTTTTTGGGATTTTTAACGTGCGACTTTTCTATAGAAATTATCTTAAAACAATACATTTTCAGTAATTGATGAATCTGACACATTTCGGATTTCCTGTTAATCTTTTGTTTCTCTCTTCCCTGCTAATTCACTAAAATCAGGCCATTTGTACCTATCTGTCAGACCTCTCAATAAATGTCGCACAAACGTTAATTTCCATTAATTAAATTATTTTTTAGTCCCTAATTATTACAATAATGCACGCTAATTATTACAAAAACAAATTGCTAGCACCCCTGTCAAACACTACCAGTCTAGAATAACTCGACCGGAAACCGCACTTAAATGCAACTTTATTTGCAGAGGACAGCAGTGCCGAAAACCAAGAAGGAAGGGTGAAGTGTCGAATCAGAAAGATAAAACAGACCGTCCGTCAAGGCTTGCAGAAAGATAGGAAGAAGAGGAAAAAGACTCCTTTTTTTCCTGCTCGACTGCCTATGTATATATTATACTCTCACTTTTAAATTTATATTCGCCTCCCTACAAGAAGCTACAGACATAGTGGAGAGAGAGAGAGGAAGGGGAAGAGGAAGCCAAGTGTTGGTAATAAAGACAAAACCCAGTTTCCTTCCGATTCGATTCGGGGTTCATTTTTTGGGATAACCGAAAAGGACATCGTTCTGGTCAGTATAAAGAGAAATGGAAAAACCCAGAGCTGCTTTTATAGGCCAAGACCGCTCCAAACGGTTCCGACAAGATTTTCCCTTTTTGGGATCAACTATGATATCATATCCGAAAAATAACTGACCAATCAATTGGAATTATAGACTTGATAGCAAATCAGTATTCATGGGTGGGTTTTGATTTGTAGGAGTGGCAGCCAGATGTCTTTAACTACTAAGTCACTCTCTTCTCTTCTTCATGTCTCTTGTCTCTCTAACTATAAAGAATCCTTTTAAAAAGCAACGCTCACATCCAAATCTCACTCAAATTTTAATTTCCCAATCAATTGTCATGGATTTAAAATAAAAAGGGTTTTTAGCATATAAGGGCAATTTTTAGGGTTTAATATCAATAAAAGTTATATCTAAAAAAAAAATTCAAAAATAGGTTAACTTTTTAAAAATAATATTAATAAAGGACAAAAATACTATTCATCTTCTTCTTCTTGCCATTTGTTCACCAGAACCGTCGTCTATAACCGCCTGCCACCACCCGCCACCGTTGTCCGCTGCCTACGCCTTAAGCAATGTTGTCGGAGGCGGCGATGTTGGTGGTCATTCCTTTGCTCACTGCCGCTGCTGCCACCTTTGTCTCCACCCATCTCCGTCAACATTGCCAAAGGCGGAGACGGAGGTGGGGGCGTTGGACAAAGAAATTAGTAGCATCGCCGCCACCACCTCTGCCTTCGACCACATTTGGCAACATTGCTGGAGGTGAAGGCGGAGATGGGTAGAGGCGGCAGCGGGTGGCAGTAGATGGCGATGGCAGATGACGGCGGGTGGCAGCAAATGGCGATGGTGGATGACGGCGGGTGGCAGCAGATGGCGGCTCTGGTGAATAAATAGCAAGAAGAAGAAGATGAACAGTATTTTTACCCTTTATTGATATTCTTTTTAAAAAAATTACATATTTTTGAAATTTTTTTAAATATATTATTTTTATTGATATTAAACCCCAAAAATTGCCCTTATATGCTATTACCCCAATAAAAATTAAAAAACCACTATTGTATATTTGCATTATATATTTCTCATAAAATGAATTTTAATTAAACCGAGTCTCCATCAACCTCCCAGCTGTCGCCATATCCAGAATCTAATCCCAGTCGAGACTCGAGAGAGGGAGAGGTGATGGGTCGTGTATCCTGGGCCGCCTAACCCCAGTTTGGGTTTCCTACTAATCTTTTTCTCAAAAGATTAATTCATAAAAATAAAGTTATCGGAGGGATTAATAGAGAGGAAAGACAGGAAATCCGAACTGGGTCTTACAGATAACAATTCTAAAGCCACCGAAAACAATCCATCAGTCGATGACAGATATAAAAAATATGAAAAGCACCTCTCAAACCCTAACCACATTTCACATTTGTATTGACCGACTTCCCCGGCACAAATAAAGCTACCGAGGATTACTCAAGACTCTGACACGTTAAGTTTCCAACAGCCTTTATCGCCATGACCCCATCTCGCATGACAAGTGCCTTATCATGAGCTTCGTCACAAAGACTATAAATTCTATTGACATCGAACGTTTTATCCATCATCGTTCAGAAAAAGAGATCGTTTAATTTTGAGTTTCCTCATTTTTGTTTATTTTGTTCCGAGCAAAGCCAAAAGAGAAGCGAAGATGGCCGACAACTCCAATCAGATGAGCTTCCAAGCTGGCGAGGCCAAGGGCCAAGCTCAGGTAATTAAATAATAATGCTTTCAGTGGGCTCTCGATATCGCCATGATCAGATGGATGATGAAATGGGTTTCCATGCATGACCACGTTTAGTTCAGTACTGATACGTTGCTTTCTGCTTGCTGCAGGAGAAGTCAAGTCAGATGGTGGATAAGGTATGCGATACCGCTCAATCAGTCAAGGAATCATGCCAAGAGGTGAGAGGCTCAGTTCAAGTTCAACTTCAATGCAGTTCCTGTTCAAACGATGCATCTTATCTATATAAATTTTAAATTGGAGCTGAATGATTGTGGCTAGTTTTCACCAATCAATCAATCCAATAACTTAATTTGATCATGCAAACCCATTCAAGGTGAATTGGCATCGGACTGACTGATCAAATTAATTGTCAAGGTTGATGGGAATTTTAATTAGACAACATTTTTTTTTTTTTTTTTTTTTTTTTGTGTTCCGAGCTGTTTATCTTATTTTGTTTGCGTTGTTTTGATGTTGATGATCGTGTAGGCTGGCCAGCAAATGAAAGCTAAGGCAGAGGGGGCAGCTGATGCTACGAAGGACGCCACCGGCATGAACAAGTGAAAGGAATTAAAGCCCGGCTTTATGCTGTTTGAGTTCTTGTTGACGATTGATCTTTCTTTTTCTTATTTTTTACATGTTGTTTGGTTGCTCTTCTTTTGAAGAGTTTGTTTCGGTTATATGGTTATTAAGAAGAAATAAAGGAAAAAAATTAGAGAGAAGTTTTTCTCTTAAGAATTCTTTTTTAATTGGTATTACAAATTAGGGGTATAAATAGATCAAATTCAAATTGAATCAGGGAATATCCAATATCCAAATTTAATTCGATATTTAATAGATATTAAAAATTATTATTTAAATTTTATTAATTAATTATTTTTGATAATTAATAAATATATAAAATAAATATTTTATTTATATAAATTATATAAAGTATTTAAATATTTTATATATTATATATAAGAATTAAATAATAAGTTAAATTTTAATATTTATCGAATTAAATTAGATTATATTCAAAATTTAAATCTAATTAATCATTTGATATAAATAAAATATTCAAATAACTAATTAAATATTCAAATTATTCAAATTCAATTCGTTCATGTTAAATCTCAAATTCAAAATCAGATTTTCGAATATCATTAACACCCGTGTTATTAGATGATTAAAGGGTGGGGACAATACAGAGTAAGGTGGACATTAGGTCCACTCACCAAACGTCAGTGAGAACCCTCAATTAATTCCACGGATATGATGGTTGTGATTCCATATTACACCGTTGGTGCACAACTAAGACAATCTGTCACAGCATTTAGAAAAAATGATTTCAATTTTGTAATGGGAAACGACAGGCTTGAGTTGAGCGACGGATTACTATTAATTGATTTGGTGCGACTGTCCCGTATCTGGATAGGGTAGAATTGGGAATGGGATCTGTTCTTTAAAAAGGGGTGCCTTACAGGTAAATCTACCATGCATTAGAAACATCTTTTATGAATAATAACTTATAAGTATGAGAAATATCTTCAATATATGGTAGGATGTATGTGTGAAATCAGTGCAGGAAGCAGTCTGGTCTCGTAGAATTGAACTGAACCGATAAGAAATTGCACTACTCCGATCTCGAACCAGACCCTAATTTTAGATTTAAAATCGAGCGGACTAAATAATTGGGAAATTGGATCTGATTACCTGATGGGATCCGACTGAACTCAACCAGTTGACATACAAAATTACAAATGTCTTTCATAATGGGGGTTAGGGGCTAGGGGAGCCTCTCACAAATAGACCTGGCAAAGAGTTGACCCAACCCAATCCGAGAAAACAGGGTCAGGGTCTCATATTTAACTACCCTAATGTGAAAGCGACCCAACCCAAAAAATTGGGTTGGGATGAGTTGGGTCATGGGTCAACCTTCTGACCTGATTGTCAAGTCTATTTGGGATTATTTAGGTATGTTAGAAGTTTTTACTCCTTAATTTTTTTTATTTAGTCTTTACTTTTTATTATTTATTCTTTAAATTGTTAAATGTTCAAGTTTTTTATTTTATATTTAGAATTTTAAGGTTAATTCTTTTAATTTTGACATTTTTCTTGTAATTTTTTTTAATTTCAATTATTTTTTGGGATGACCCAAATTGATCCATGGGTCAACCCTAACCCGGACATTTAGGGTTAGGGTCTAGCATTTGACAACCCAACCCGAAAGTCATTCCAATTCCGAAATAAAAAAAAGAAAAGAAAAAGGAGCTACAAAGCCTTCTACAGTGGCTCGAGTTTGCTGCCCATGATTTATTCCTACTGCTCAGTTTGAAAGGAATACAAATACAAATATGTACGATGCAAATACATAGAAAATATAAGGTTTTACACTCCATAAATTTGTATTTATACTCCTTCCAAACCGAGTTTGTATGTTTACTCATGGAATATTAAAGTTGCACATTGAAAATATCTTTCTTATCATTCATGGGAGATGTTCTCCATAAAATAATGTTCTACGGATAGAAATTTAAGAACAATTTGTGGGTAGAATACAGAGTGTTCATACAACAACATAGTACCACAACGCCACTGCCTTATTGGATGCTTTGAGAGACTGAAAATTGCCACTACCACCGCTGTGGATGCTGCTGCCTCCACCTGCCACCGTTGCCGCTGCTGTAGATTTTAGGACTTGGGTTAAGAGAGACTGAGTTGAGTTCAGTCGAACAGAAGTACACAAAAAAGGGGGAAGAGCCAAAGAGAATCATTGTCCACTGAGTTAAGGCTAGGTTACTGTAGATGAATAAGAGGTTAGAGGAAGGGGGAGGGGAATAAATGGAGAAAACGAAAAATCAAAATGAAAGAGTTTGGTCGAATCAATTGTAGGGTTTCAGTTTGGGATAACCGGAACTGATAATCAGGAATCGGAATCAACCCTCACCTATACAAACCTTGGAATCAAAACCATTATAATCAGTCTGGTCGGTTCAGGTCCATTGGATAGACCTACTCATTGACAGCCACAGAGAATGTGAATTCATATTTAGAGGGGTGACCACGAGCCAAGTCATTTGAGCTAGGCTCGGTTTCAACCAAGTTTTGAGTTGAGTTCGAGTCCAATTTACAAGTTCGTTTATTAGTCGAGTTGAGCTCAAGCCTAATAAAGTTCAGCTCGTGAGCCGCGTTCGAATAACTACATAATAATAATAATTATAGGAAATAATATATATAATAAAAATATTATATATAATATTTTTATTTTTATATATAATAATAACTAGTTATTATAATTCTTAATTTTTTAAATATCAAATAAAAATATTTTAAATATATAATTTTTTTTTATTTTTATAAAACATTTTTCTCAAGTCGAGCTCGAGCCGAACCAAGCTCGAGCTTATGAGCTTTTGACTCGAGCAGAGCTTGAGCTCGAGCTCGAATAGCTAGCTATTCGGCTTGGTTTGGCTCAAATCCACCCCTAATGGCTAGTGCAATTTCTTTCAACAAAGCCTATGCATTGCAGAGACCCTCACTAATAATTAATTACTTATGCTGCGTTTGGTGGGGCTTCTTTCCTCTAAATAGGCTGTTTAGAAGAACTTTTGGATAAGTAATTCTAAAACGCACTTTAAAACTGCTTGGTAAGGTGCTTTTTTACAATGAAAAATAGTGTTTATTTAACAACATTGTTTGGTTCAAAATGGGCGTTTGCCAATACAAAGAAAATATTACGTAGTACCCTACATGCATCATGTATAATCCTAAAAAAAGAATGTATAAATACCATTTTACGCCCATAAAACACCAATTTATTTTTAATGACAAATTGCCAATTTCATGGATGTTCTCAAATTCTCATACCAGTTCCATGTGATTTGTTGATGCTCGGATTGGTCGGGGGCAATATAGTAAATTTGCTCAGCTTCTTGGACGGATTGGATAGTGGAGCGATTCGAGGGCTAGAAGAGCTCAATGTGTGCTATGGTCGAGGGTTGATGAAGTCTGCCCGATGTTGGTTGAGGCCAAGTACCTACAAGGAAGGGAATGTTAGAGGCCCCGGGTGATAACTCGAGGCGGGGACTCCGACGAACAAGTTAGTAAGGGCATAGCAAAGAGGGCAGACAAAGTCTGAGGAGTTTGGATGGGGTCGCTAGAAAGCTAGGGAGCAAGGGAGTTTGGAGAGATAAAAGTCTAGTGGACAAAGAGACCCCTTACCTTGGGGGTGGTGCCCTATTTATACTTGAGGTTGCCTATAGGCGGACACATGTGGACGGTCAAGATGCAATCCGACCCTGACAGAGTGATCATCTAAGCTTACCACGTGTGATTGCGCCATTGGTCCCACCGCCCTGCCAGACATGCGGAATGGATCCGCGCTATGCCACATGTCAACATGCCATAGGCCTGGCGAAAGCGCCTACATCATGATCTAATTAACCCAAATCCAATTTATTCGATCTAATTTGCAGCATTTTTTTTTTATAAATTATGCTATTAAAAACAATATAAAGCTTGATTTGACATTGAAAAATATGAGTTAAACTTTGTAATGACTTGGTTTCACATATTAGTTCGATACTTTGGAAGTTCATTGTGTTGAATTCTATAAAACATAACCTACCCCCCCCCCC